TTATTTATTTTATTTATTTTTCTTTTTTTTATTAGTTGTTCAAAACATTACAAAGCTCTTGACATATCATATTTCATACATTTGATTCAAACAGATTATGAACTCCCATTTTTACCCCATATACATATTACAGATTCACATCGGTTACACATCCACTTCTTTACATACTGCCATACTAGTGTCTGTTGTCTTCTGTTACCTTTCCTATCTTCTACTGTCCCCCCTCCCCTCCCCTTATATAGTTGTCTTTAACAAAAAAAAAAGGTAGAAGATTTTTTAAACATATTTATTTTTTGGTTGTAGCTGGATTATTAACTAATTATTAATTTTTATGTGGTGCTGAGGATCAACTCCAGGTCCCCACATGTGCTAGACAAACGCTCTACCTCTGAGCCACAACCTCAGCCCAAAGATAATTTTAATATTATTTTATTTCTTTAGCTACCAGAATCAGTGGTTTTATTCCGATGGTACCAGAAATTTATGGAGCTTGCAAATATCATCCAACATATTAACCAAGAACAGGACACCAAAAGGGACAACTCTGAAGACAACACATATATAGAAATCAATCAAATTCTTCTCAAAACCAAGGACCTTCTAAGACAATTGCCATCGTCCAATTTTAACACTCTACATTACCTTATCGTCTATCTTAAGCAGTAAGAATTTTTATACCATCTTAACCATTTTTAATTGTACAGGGTAACAGTATTCAGAACATTTATATTATTGTGGTATAATTTTCAAAATGATTTTTAGGATGTTTTTATTACATGTTGGGAAAGGGAGACCTTGAATATATGTTCATGCAGCAAACATGGTTCCCTCAGATGCCTCCTGTGTGCCGGGCTCTGGCTGGGGAAATTAGGATGCAAACACAGGGTTTCTGCTATTTGTGGGCTCATCCATTTGGGGGACAGACCTGTATATAACCAAAGTACACCATCTTCCTTTTTCTAGTAGCCAACGACATGATTTTATACTTGGAGGATCCAAAAAACTCCACCAGAAAACTTCTAGA